ACAATCAGAAAATTTTGCTTCTTGTCTTGAATATAAGTCTAAGGATGAAGTATGTGACCATTTCGAAACTCTCAATGAACATGTTGAGGGAGAACCATTCATACCTTTAGATTCTGATCCTAAATATGTTGCTAGTGAGTCTAGTCATACTGTTGTTGTTAAGGAGGTTTTGAATGTTCACCCTTTAAAAGAATATGAGTCTCAAAGAGAAAATATATTTTATGCTAACGGGTCAATTAAAGAGAATGCTTGTGCTATGGTAATAGATTCTAGAAGTTGCACAAATGTGGCTAGTGCAGCTATGGTTAAATTTCCCCAGTTACCTTTGCTTAATCATCCAAATCCGTATTCTTTGCAATGGTTAACTGATGTAGGAGAAGCTAGAATAACCAAACAGGATCTTATTCCTTTATCTATTAACAGTTACTCTGATGAAATCTTGTGTGATAATATCCTAATGCAGGCTGCTCATATCTTGTTAGGTAGACCATTGCAATTTGACAGAAAAATAAGTTCTGATGGAATGAGGAACACTTATGTGTTTCACATGAATGGAGTTACATATTTCTTGTCTCGTTTGTATCCTAAACAAGTAGAAGAAATTCAATTGACATTGATGCAAGCTCTCAAACCAGCCTCAAAGAAGGAAGAAATCATAGAGAGAAAAGTGGAACCTCCATGTTTGGAATTACAATCACCACTCCAATCCTCTAACTCAGTTTATAGCCAAACAAAGGGACCACAATCAGTGATACAGTGGAAAGGACCAGCCCAAGGTGTCAAAGTGCAACATCTCTTGGTAACTAAAAAGGATAGTATGCAAGAGAAAGGAAGGGGAGTCACTTTATACTCACTTTTATTCAAAAAACATGCATTATTATTCTCTAGATTTCTTTGCCATGTTTCTATTAATGACGTACTTGCTAGAGGTGTTAGAAATTTGTTTGCCTCCATACATCCAAGATTCCATAATTTTGATTTTACTAAAACTTTGTTTGATAGAGGTAAGGAATCACTGGAAAGTTATAAGGCACATTTGAAAACTTCTTAAGCAAGTAGTGAAAGTTATAAGCAAGTAGTGAAACACTACTTGCTCAAGGGGTTTTGGTTCAAAGTCAATGGGATTGACACTTTTTGCTTTGTTTTGGGCAATGGTTTAATTGTTGATTCACATAAAGGACACTTTGGTTTTCCAAAGAGTGATGATGTTTTGCATGGATATTTTCATTGGCCAAAGAAGAAAAAGATGTAGAATCTTATGTTCATAATTGTGCTACTTACCACCACAGCACATCTAAAACATTACTTGACATTTCCATGGATTTTGTGTTTGGTTTAGCCTTAAGCTCTAGAAGGAAAGGTGTTGTGCTTGTTGAAAATTCAAACAAGATGGCTAAATTTAATGTCTCGTTTTGCGGATCTATTACTATCCAGAATGTTTAAATTCCATGATGTGTCATTAGACTTAATTGCCTTACTTGTTGATTGTAGGATGATGATTGGAGCGACTCGTGTCAAGCACCCCAAGAAAAAGTTCCATGAGCATGATAAAACAGAAAGTGAGCTTGCTACTTTGCCTTTCATTGAAGATTTGGATTCGAGGACGAATCCTTTTCAAGAATGGGAGAATAATAGGAACCAGCACACATGGAATCCAATAAGGGTCTATAGTGGGCTCATCACAAGGCCAAAAAGTACATCCTTAAAGCATCATTGGTGGAAAAATCAAGGAATTCCAACAATAATTCCATTCGATAGAGGAAAGTATTATAGTGGCCCGTTTCAAGTGATGTCACGGATCGAAGACAATGTTTATAAGATTCGAGGTCGAATCATTTTTCAAGAAGGGGAGGATGATGCGGCCCAACATAATGAAGATCCATTGAGATTACAAATTGGGCCAATCACAAGATCCGAGGCCCAAATCAGCTTTATTATTTGTGGTCATCATTTATTTTAAATTGTTTAGAATTAAAGAGAAAACACTAGTTGTATTTAGAAAGGATTCCTTAAATCCTTTTCTAAATAAAACTCTATTTACTTGTTTTCTAGATTAGGTTTAGGACTCTTTTTTCCATTGTATTTAGATTACAATGCTGCCCTATACTTATAAATAGGGCACATCCATATCAGTTTTGAGGAGCCTTCAATTCAATAAAACTCTTAAGTTTTTCTTTACACTTGTGTAAGAAACCTTATAGCTAATTGTGGACTCAACTAGTGGCTAGTCGTGGACTCGACTAGCAAATTGATTCGTGGACTCGAATCAATCTTACTTTCTTCAACCTTAGATTTAGGTTCGTGGACTCGTTCTTGAATCGAAGGAAACTAGATCCGACTCTAGTTGATTGAAGATTGCAATATCAAGGTACTTGAAGCTACATGGGATTCTTCCAAGTCTTTGAGGATTCGAGACAAAGGGTTTCTTGTGAGGTCTAAGGTATTTTGATCCATCTCTATCTTTACTTGTGAGAGCATTCTTGGGACAATATTCCATCTTTATGTGAACCTTGGACTAGGTTCATATCAACTAGTGTTTTCTCTTTTATGCCAAACAATTTAAATTAATGATGACAAAAAATAATAGGGCTGATTTGGGCCTAATTTAATCACCAAAATCAGCACTTAAACAATTATAAAAAGCCTTGAGTTCTTCGCCATCATTTGCAATTGGGCTTGAATTGGATTTCCACCATTTTTGAACATAACCAATGAAGCGTTGTCTTAATTGTTTGGACTTAGATCTTGTGATTGGCCCAACTGGTACTCTTAATGGATCTTCAGTAGTTTGGGTTGCATTAATAGGCCATTTTTATATAGGAGGTGAATTCAAAATTTTTGTATGCATGAACTTGTGTGGAGAGTGTGTTCTCTTGAGCTTAGTTTTATCCTTTGAATTGGGGTTTTTGCTCCTATGTATATTCCTTGGGTTGCAAAGTATGGCACATGAGTAACACACTTGCTTTATAGTATGAGGGATTTCACCTCCTCCGTCTTGGTTCACATTTGTCTTGGTAAGCCATTAGATTCATTGAATTTGCATGAAGTATCTTTGTCACTTATTCATTCTTTGAGTTTAATTGAAACCTTGCTCGAGGACGAGCAAGAATAAAGTGTGGAAATTTGTGATAAGTGCTGAAGATGCTATGTTTATAGGGTATTTAATAGGCTAACTGTGCTATAATTAGAGTCCTTTAAGCCTAATTCATGCTTAGATTAATTTAATTTGATAAAAGTTAGGATTGAGGACTAATTTCATTGCCTTTGTAGAAAAATAGCAAAACATTGCCAATTTTAGGGCATTCCGGCGACAGTTTGGTAGATTGATCATATCTTGAGCTAGGAGTGTCGAAATGAGATGATTCCAGTGGCTATGGTTCGGCAACTTCAAGGGCTATAACTTTGCAGAAGACAAAAAGGAAATATTCCAATGCACGCTCTCCAACGCGCGTTGTGAAGTGCGTTGTTGGGAAGGCCAAAAGTACAACGAAAATCCAATGCGCATTGTGAAGTTAGTTGTGCGAACAACGCGGAAATTCCAGATTTTAAGCATATTTAAAGGCTTGTAAGGGGATCACTTTGGGAGACCTTCCTTTTTCCCATTTTCTTTACCTTTCATTTCAATCCTCATAGATTCGGTTTAGATTAGGGTTTTGATTTCTTTATTTTCCTTAGATTAGATTGCAATTTCATCTCTAGAATTCATTGCTTAAACCTTGCTTTTGGATTACAACACTTGGATTGAAGACTTGGGTAAAATTTCTTCTTCTTTTTCATAATTTCATATCTAATTTTGTTTGTGATCTTATAAATGATGATGAATTGCTAGATATCTAGGATTTGGATTGGTGTTGGATTGTGTTTGTGCTTTTATGCTTTGAATGTATGAATGATGAGATTGACGTATGGATTGGCCTTTAATGCCTTTGTTGTAGAGGTGTGTATATTGATCTCTTTCCATTGTAGGATCCCAATGGTTAGATGAGTGTGAGAGTGGGAGTTTAGCAAGAGAATTCACTCTCCTTAGTCTTGCCCTTGCAATCCTCTTCCTACGACCCGAGAGGGCGAGCTTAGGGGAGGAGACGGTAGACCACCCACCAAGTGTTTGATAGAATGCCTCACCCGACGTAGGGAATGAGAGACTAGGTCCTACGCGTCCTAGTGATGGTGCCTTAGGTTTCCCTTAGGATAGTCAATTCCATTTCACCATTTGTTGTCTACTTAGGATCAATGAGAGCACAACACAATTCCAATTCCATCCAAATCACCGCCTTACTTTCTTGTTTATTTCCCTTTTGTTTTCTTTCTTTTATTTGATTTCCTATGCTTGCACCCTTGTTCCCACACCATTCTCTTGCACCTAGCCTACTTTGTTGATACATTGTGACAATTGATTGTCTTGCACTTTGCTTGTTCCGATTTTCGATCCTTGAGTTCGACACTCAGGAGTTCCAAACTTCCGTTTACACTCTTTCACCACACACCTTCCACCACACTAAAACTACAACCTTATCAGTAGTTTAATTACCTCGTTTTTCACCACCTCGTAGGTATTTGGGTTCAACCTTCTTTGTGGCTGTGCGACAGGCTTCGCACCTTCTTCAAATAGGATCTTATGAGTGCATATAGTTGGGCCAATCCCTTTTTGGTCCGTTAATTTCCATCCTATTGCTCCCTTATTTTCTTTAAGAACTCTCACTAGCTTTGTCTTTTGCTCTTTGCTCAATCCAGATGCAATTACAACGGGCTTAGTATTGTTGGTAGAGCATATTCGAGATGATCAGGCAATGGCTTTAGCTCTTCTTCCTTTTACTTTTCAGAATCATTTATACTTCCATCGTCGTCATCTGTCCACTCATCCCTATCCTCATCCCTTTCATCAAACACATTCGAGCACTTATTTCTCAGTTTATCCTTGCATTTCCCGAGAGATTCCGTGTTACCACAAGAGTGGTTCTTACGTGATTCATCACAGGCTTTAAAATAGTAGTTAATCAAATTCATGTTGACATGCATTCATGTAGGACGTGTTCATCATCCGTATCAGTGTCGCTTCCACCAAGTGGGCATTCAAAGCTTCTTCCCGAATCGTTATCAGAAGGGTAATCCAGTAAGTAGTCAGGATCACTACCCGGGTGGTCAATATAGAAACAAGCGTCATCCCCTTCCAGTGGGTACTTAGTCAATTTTGTGACATCAAAGCTTGCAGATTCACCCCCCACATGAATCACTAACTTGCCGCTTCCTACGTCTATTAGGGCTCTAGCAGTAGCGAGGAAAGGTCGCCCTAAAATGAGGGGTACCTCGACATCTGGATCCATATCTAGAATAATGAAGTCAACTGGAAATATAAACTTGTCTGCCCTCACCAGAACATCGTCCACGATTCCTCTTGGATATTTAGTCGATCTATCTGCTAACTGAATGCAAATCCGAGTGGGCTTCAGAACTCCCAGCTTTAATTTCTTATAGAGACCGTAAGGAATCAAGTTGATACTGGCTCCCAGATCGGCTAAGGCTTTGTTGAATTTTGACTCTCCAATATTGCACAATATTGTAAAGCTACCAGGATCTTTGAGCTTCCGTAGTATTTCCTTGTGTAACAAAGCAGAACATTCCTCTCCAAATACTATGGTGGCAGTTTCTTCCAACCGTTTCTTGTTTGACAACAATTCTTTTAAGAACTTGGCGTATCACGACATTTCTCCAAGTGCGTCCACGAATGGCATATCAATATGTAGATGTTGCAGCATCTGGAGAAATTTTCCATATTTGGTATTGTCAATATCGCTTTGAAACCTCTGAGGAAACGGAACCTTTGGTTTAAGGGCAATGAGTGTTTCAGTTGCAATCTCTTTACCCTTTTTAGAAGGTTGGGCTTCTGATGTCGGTGCAGGGTCATCCCCTTCCTCCACATCCTTAGATTCTCTGTTGTTCGAAGGGTCAGTGTCTTTAGGGTTGCAAGGAATATCATCCCTTGAAGGGGTAACTGTTTTGCCTTTTTCCTCTTTGAGTGATTTCCCACTCCTCAGAGTGATGGCTTGAACTTCTATTTGATTTCTCCTTGTGACCTCTTGAATCATCAAAGCTAAGGTTGTAAGGTTTCTTCACAATGGTTGTAAGGTGTCTTAACGATATGCAGCCATCTCGTCCTTAAATTCCTGCGTAACTTCGGCCTTGAGGCTTGTCGTATCCTGATATGAACCTAGTCCAAGGTTCAAATAAAGATGGAATATTGTCCCAAGAATGCTCTCAATGTAAAGATAGAGATGGATCGAAATACCTTAAACCTCACGAGAAACCCTTTGTCTTGAATCCTCAAAGACTTGGAAGAATCTCATTGTAGCTTCAAGTACCTCGATGATGCAATCTTCAATCAACTAGAGTCGGATCTAGTTTCCTTCGATTCAAGAACGAGTCCACGAACCTAAATCTAAGGTTGAAGAAAGGAAGATTGATTCGAGTCCACGAATCAATTTGCTAGTCGAGTCTACGACTAGCCAGTAATTGAGTCCACAATTAGCTATAAGGTTTCTTACACAAGTGTAAAGAAAAACTTAAGAATTTTATTGAATTAAAGCCTCCCTGAAACTGATATGGATGTGCCCTATTTATAGGTATAGGGGCAGCATTATAATTCTAAATACAATGGAAAAAAAGAGTCCTAAACCTAATCTAGAAAACAAGTAAATAGAGTTTTATTTAGAAAAGGATTTAAGGAATCCTTTCTAAATACAACTAGTGTTTTCTCTTTTATGTCAAACAATTTAAATTAATGATGACAAAAAATAATAGGGCGGATTTGGGCCTAATTTAATCACCAAAATCAGCACTTAAACAATTATAAAAAGCCTTGAATTCTTCTTCATCTTTTGCAAATGGGCTTGACTTGGATTTCCACCATCTTTGAATATCACCAATGAAGAGTTGTCTTAATCGTTTGGACTTGGGCCTTGTAAGATGAAGAAGATTTCAAGGCTTTTTATAATCGTTTAAGTGCTGATTTTGGTGATTAAATTAGGCCCAAATCAGCCCTATTATTTTTGGTCATCATTAATTTAAATTGTTTGGCATAAAAGAGAAAACACTAGTTGTATTTAGAAAGGATTTCTTAAATCCTTTTCTAAATAAAACTCTATTTACTTGTTTTCTAGATTAGGTTTAGGACTCTTTTTCCCATTGTATTTAGATTACATGCTGCCCTATACCTATAAGGGCACATCCATAACAGTTTGAAGGAGGCTTTAATTCAATAAAATTCTTAAGTTTTTCTTTACACTTGTGTAAGAAACCTTATGGCTAATTGTGGACTCAATTAGTGGCTAGTCGTGGACTCGACTAGCAAATTGATTCGTGGACTCGAATCAATCTTCCTTTCTTCAACCTTAGATTTAGGTTCGTGGACCCGTTCTTGAATCGAAGGAAACTAGATCCGACTCTAGTTGATTGAAGATTGCATCATCGAGGTACTTGAAGCTACAATGAGATTCTTCCAAGTCTTTGAGGATTCAAGACAAAGGGTTTCTCGTGAGGTTTAAGGTATTTCGATCCATCTCTATCTTTACATTTAGAGCATTATTGGGACAATATTCCATCTTTCTGTGAACCTTGGACTAGGTTCATATCAATTTGGTATTCAGAGCCTAGGTTTATCTCATTATCATTAGAAATTTGGTTTCTTTGGTTCCCTAGGTTTATCTCGTTCATATCTTACATACTACTTTTATTCGTGTCTTATTCATTAAAAACCCCCAAAAAGATTTTCCTTTGCATTCTTGATTGTGTTCTTGAATCTTGATACATGTTCTCCAGTTTCTTGAAAAACAATACCGAAAGAGTTTTCCTTTTTTCCCGTCCAATATCAACGAGACCTGTAACACCCCATGTTACGATCCCTAAAATCAATTAAATCATTTAATCAATAACCCAAAAGAAAGAATTAAATTACAGAAATTAATTAGGATAAAGGCCCACCATAGTCCGTGGGCCCTCATCTCTAAACCCAATCCTTAGTCCTAAAAGGAATAGAGTTAGCAAACCTATGGTAATTAGGCCCTAAGTAAGACTCTTAAATATATAAATAGGGAACATAAGGAGGCACCTAGAACTCCCACCACAATAATCTCTCACCACCCAAAGAGCTCCAAGAATTCCCTTAGAAGAAATCAAGAAAGCAAGAAAGCTTAAAGAAAGACCCTTCATAGCCAAGGAATTAATTAAGGCTAAGAGGTAACCCATGTCTCAACAAAACCTATTTTCATAGCTATGCTTCCCCTCTTAGGATTTCCCCATATTATTGCGTATTGATTATTTGGGATATTATTATTTATGATTGGTGGGATGATTCCATGGGTAATCTTGATGAGGAGAGGTTCTTGATAATTATGGTGTTCTTGATGATTATATAACGTTCTTGATAATTATATAGTGTTCTTGATGTTCTTAATGATTATATGAGGTTCTTGATAGTTATATGATATTCCTACCGAATCTTGATTTTGGAAGATGAATTGTGTTCTTGTTGATTTAAAAATAGAACCCTAGGTTATATCGTGGAATTCGTATGATATTATTCTTGGTATATTGGGTGGGAATTCGCATGATTGGGTGTTGGTTATGTTTAGGAAAGCATGATAGGTTATGTGCCGTATGTTTCTTGATTTTGATCCGTTAATTGTCTACGTGTGTTATCAATTGCGTTTGAAAGTGTCTAAGCATGGTTTCGGGTTCCACAAAGGTTCCCGGGCCGTTTTTGGTAAAAAAGAGTCAGTGGGGGGTAGGTGGGGGTAAGGGACCCGCCACCTACCCGCGGCCTAGTTGGGCAACGCCGGCCCGCTGGGCACCCGCTGCCCGGAATAGTGCCGCCGGCGGGCAGCCGGCGGGTGACCCCTCACCCACCGGCTACCCGCTGGTTTGTACCCCACTTCGGGATCCCGACTTCCCCGTTTGATGTTCCCCCGACCCCCGTGGTGTCCCAACAGACTCCGTCTATCGTGCCTATGTCTAGTTTGATTTTCGGGTACCGTTCGTAGGTCGTATGAGTCTTATATATTGCATGCTAGTTGAATTGGTATCCCGTTGACCTAGGTGAAAGAAGTATGAACCCCTTAGGAATATTCTTAGTATGTGAAGGATCACGCATAGGTTTTGTTATACATTTTCTCCCCCTTCCCAATGTGTTAATGTGGGTTGCATGTGCTTGCTATGTGTTATGTGTGCATGTTACCCCGATTTGGTTGAGATCAATCGGGCTATACGGGCAGTCGGGTGGGCTGAGAACCATACTGGCTGTTAACCAGGCTGGTAGAGACCAGTCAGGTATATAAATATTATATAGGACTGAGGTCCACTATACGGGCAGTTGAATGGGTTGAGAACCATCCCAACTGTTAACCAGGCTGGTAGAGACCGGTCAGGTATATAAATAGAGGAGGGGATGACGAAGAGCCTGAGGGAAGCACCGATGAATCGGAGAGTGAGTCGTTCTAGCTCGGTGTTGTGGTAAGCCTGTTTATCCTTCTGCAGCCTGTTGTTACCTCCTAGTTGTTGTTACCGCTTGATAGTTGTTTGTTGCTTGCCTCGTGTGCTTGTTCTTGCATGCCTGTTTAGTGAGTAGTTAGCTTTAGTGGTTGATGCTTTGAGCTAGTTGTTTAGTTCTTGGTTGTTGGTTAGAAGCTGGTGGTTGTGTTTGGTTTAGAGTTTGATATGCTCAATATCTCCGTGGGTTAAATTCTTTCAATCCTTGTATCGATATACCTTCTTGCTTGCTTTGGTGTCTTGTGAATCCTTTGGGTTTTGACCAAAAGAGGATGTTCTTGACACTCTTGTCACATTGCTGTTTCATTTCACCGTTTGTTATAATTCGTCGTACCCAAGCTTCGGGGACGAAGCTTCTTTGAAGGGGGAGAGGATGTGACACCCCGTAATCTAAATTCAATTAAGGGATTAATTAAATAATTAATCCTAAACCAATTGGTAATTTAATTCCTTAAATTCCTGAAAATTCAATAGTCAGGGACTAGTAATTGACTAGTCAACCCAAAGTCAAGGTTGTACCTTAAGCTTTGTGAGGAGTTCCCTTGTTTCCTTACACCTCTTCATTTTAGTAAGGGTATTCATGACATTCACCTTGTGTTAGTAATGCAAGCTAACCTAGTAGACACTCCTCATTCTTTCTCCTTACATTTCCCAAACTTGAGCTCTCCCTTCTCTCTAAAAGTTAGATAGCTTTTCTTCCAAGCCAAGTTGGAGCTTTGTCAAATCCACAAAGGTTGTCTCCAAGATTCTACCTTTCATACATTTGAGCATCTAGGAGGGTAAGATCTATGTTCATCTTGTGTTTTTAGTGTCTTCTAAGGTGTCTTTTCTTAAAGATAGAATCTTTATGATCTTTTGGTGTGTTCTTGAAGTGGGTTTGGAAGGTGAGCCTTAGTATGAGCTTGGTGAAGTGTTAAGTGAAGGTTTTTGTCTACAAGAGGTAACCCATGCTCTACAAAATCTATTTTGCTTTCCTATATGATGATTTCATGGATTCTACATGTGATTTTGCTATGAAATGTGAGTGTTTATGCATTGTCTTGTGAAAATGCATATCTAGAGCTTGTGTTTAAGGTTCATGTGTGCCATTGCTTGGTTATTCCTTTGATTCAAGTCATTTTGTTGTATTTGGTGAGATTTGGCATGTTTTGGACTTGAATTTGAGCATGGTGTTGAAGATCGCCGAAGGGATTATGTTGGGCACAGGAGCGTACCCGCGGGCGGAACGGCGGGCAGTGGCCTACCCGTCGCCCCACCCGCGGGGAACATATGGCTTGTGGGTGTGTACCCGCGGGCGGAACCACGGGTGGGGGTCTACCCGTGGGTCCACTCGCGGGGAACAATATGATGATGGTTGGGGATTTGTTCCCCGTGATTCTTTTGACTCGGTATTTGGTCTTTTGACTTCCCGATGTTCTTTTGTGGAACTATTCGAGTGTCTTCTTAATGTTTCGTATGTCTAGAACTATATGGTAGGAATCCATGTAGGTTTTGGTGTCTTGAATCGTGCTAAGTGATATGTACCTAATCCAAGATTCAAATAAGA